ACGCGGGGAGCCAGGGACAGAGACTCGGACGCGGGGAGCCAGGGACACAGACTCGGACTCAGACTCGGGGTGCGAGGGACAACAGAGACAGCAAGAGGGAGGGAGAGACTGAGGAATTGAGAAGGAGGAAAGGAAAAAAGGAAAGGTCCAAGGGGGCAGGTGGGACTGAGAAAAAGAGACAAAGGATGAGAGTAAGGTGAAACAGGGATCAGAAGGGAAGGCAGAACTCAAAGGAAAGCATGAGAATCAGGTAATATGGGAGAGTGATCAACGTGAGAGGTTTAACCCAAGGTCCATTGTGAAATGAAGAAGGTGTGTCTGTGTCTGAAGGGACACAGAGACACATTCAGGCTCCATGGCGAATAAAATACAAAGCAAGATCAAGACAAAATGATTAGAGACAAGTAAGAAAATCAGAGGCAGATAAACAATATGTTACCAGCAAACAGAAGGAGGAGATTTCTTAATATAATACCATCATATAGAATAGTCACATCCATATTTTAAAATGCCACATCAAAGGTTCAGAGCATCCCTCTGAATTCTGCAGTGATGTGTAGGTGCCGGTGTTGGACTGGGGTGGACAAGGTCAGAAATCACATGACACCAGGTTACAGTCCAACAGGTTTATTTGAAATCACAAGCTTTCGAAGCATAGCCTCTTCATCTGATGAAGGAGCAACACTCCGAAAGCTTGTGTTTTCAAATAAACCCATTATAACCTGGCGTCATGTGATTTCTGTGTTTGTGCGGTGATGTGAGATGACGGGGAGAAATAGGTTTGCTGAGATTCTGAAAGGAATTCAGAGTGAATACAGAGCAAGATGATGGAATAGTGGGAGTGTCACTGTACTAGTAATCCAGAGGCCCAGGCAGGAGCAAAAATTAGGCCATTCAGGCCAACGAGTCTGCTCTGCTATTCAATCATGGCTGATAAGTTTCTCAAACCCATTCTCCCGCTTTCTCCCCGTAACCCTTGATCCCCTTGATAATCAAGAACCTATCTATCTCAGTCTTAAATGTACTCAATGACCTGGCCTCCACAACCTTCTGTGGCAGTGAATTCCATAGATTCACCACTCTCTGGCTGAAGAAGTTTCATCTCCATTCTAAAGAATCTTCCCTTTACTCTAAGGCTGTGACCTCGGGTCCTAGTTTCTCCTACCAATGGAAGCATATGCCCGACGTCCACTGTCCAGGCCATTCAGTATTCTGTAAGTTTCAATTAGATCCCCCCCTCATCCTTCTAAACTCCAACGAGTATAGTCCCAGAGTCCTCAAACGTTCCTCGTATATTAAGCTTTCCATTCCTGGGATCATTCGTGTGAACTTCCTCTGGACCCACTCCAGGACCAGTACATCCTTCCTGAGGTATGGGGCCCAAAATTGCTCATAATACTATAAATGTGGTCTGACCAGAGCCTTATAAAGCCTCAGAAGTGCTTCCCTGCTTATATATTCTAGTCCTCCTGAAATAAATGCAAGCATTGTATTTGCCTTCTAACTACCAACTCAACCTGCAAGTTTACCCTAAGAGAATCCTGGACTAGGACTCCCAAGTCCCTGTGCACTTCAGATTTCTGCATTTTCTCCCCATTTAGAAAATAGTCGATGCCCCTATTCTTCCTACCAATGTGCATAACCTCACACCTTCCCATGTTGTATTCCATCTGCTACTACTACTTTGCCCACTCTCCAAATCTGTAGCCTTCCTGCCACCTCAACACAATCTGTCCCTCCACCTATCTCTGTTTAATCTGCAAACTTACCCAGAATGCCCTCAGTTTCTATTAGATCAATAATGTTTAGAGTGAAAGGTTGTGGTCCCAATACTGACCCTTGTGGAACACCACGAATCACCAGCTGCCATCCTGAGAAGGACCCTTTTATCCCAACTCTCTGCTGTCTGACAGACTAATGCTCTAGGGACACAGGTTCAAACCCCACCATGGCAGCTAGTGGATTTTAAATTCAATTAATAAATCTGGAACTGAACAGTAGGCCATGGGAGCTATCACAGTGTATAAAAGCCCACCTAGTCAGTAATATCCTTTAGGTTAGAAGTTTAGAGAAGAAAATCTGTCATCCTTACCCGGTCTGATCTGCATGTGACTCCAGGCACACAGCAATGGGGTTGTTAAACTTCCCTCAGAAATGGCCTGAGCCATTCAAGAACAAACAGAGATGGAGAGAATATTCTGGCCTTTCCATGATGTGATGCTATGCCCATACCCCATGAAAGAAATAGGGGTGAAAACACCACGAATTCAGTCATCCCCCAACCCCAATGCCCACCCCCACCCCAGATGGGTGCTTGGCTCATGAGAATATGAGGCTGCAACAAAGGATTTCAGGTCAAGCTGGTTGGATGCACAAACTCTTCTGACACAGGTGAGACCTCCTGGCCCAGAGACAAGGACATTCCCACTGAATCACAAAAAATCCTAATACAAGAAGTCGTACTGTCCTGTTTTAGAAGCTTAAGATCTAATCGAGATGATGAAAGCATTTGATAGCATAGATAGGGAGAAATTAATACCACTGGTTAATAAATAAAGGATCCAACCAGGAGTCAGGAGCTTAACATGAGAGCTTGACATCTTTTATCATGTGACTTGGTGTCACATTATGAGTTTGTGTTCAAGATGGACTGAATCTAGGAGAAGACACAGTCAAGAATTATCTTCGGTTCCAGGGATGCGCAGGCTACATTGGTTAGCCTTGGGAGAGTCAGGATAATAGGGATGGAGTACAGGGGTGGGTCTTGGTGGGATGCTCTTCAGACGGACAATTTGGATTTAATGGGCCAAACGGCCTGCTTCCAAATTGGAGAGATTCTAGGTGCTCAGATTTCAAAGTAACACTATTTCTTGTATATTAATACATTTTTTTATTCATTAATGGGATGAAGGCATCGCTGACCAGGCAGCATTTATTGCCCCGTCCCTAATTGCCTAGAGGGAAGTTCAGAGTCAACCACATTGCTGTGGGTCTGGGGTCACATGAAGGCCAGACCAGGTAAGGATGGCAGTTTCCTTCCCTCAAGGACATTAGTGAGCCAGTTGGATTTTTCCTGACAATCAATAATGGATTCATAGTCATCATTAGATTCTTAACCCACAATATTATCTGGGTCTCTGGATTAACAGTCCAGCAATAATACCACTGGCCCATCGCCTCCCCTGATAATACTAATGCTGCTAATGCCTTACACAGTAAACATACCTATACCAGGCTCGAACATTAGATAAGGACTGAACTATCTTCTGCATGTGTTTATGTCACTCTCAATCTTCTTAGTCTAGTGTCATGTAGTAGTAGAATACTGTATTTCTGCAGAGCATTAAAACTCTGCCCACACTGTGCTACTTATGCTCAGTGATGTGCAGCTCATGACATCACCTTAAAATTATGCCCCCTTGTTATTTTTTTTTCCTCTTCTATATCCAGAAGTGTTCTTACATACAACTGAATGCTTTATTTCCCCCACCACCAAATCACCCATGACTTTTTTCCCCATCTGTTAACCACCACCAGTAAATCACCTACTTTTCCAACTGAATAATTTACGTGTAAAGCCTGTTAAGGGCAAGACAGGCCATCAATGATGATGGGGGAGGGTTACAGCGAGTGTGGGGTGGGGAGGGAGAATGAGGGAGGAGCATTAAAGCAGGTGGGGTGGGGGGGGAGAATGAGGGTGGGGACAGGTTTAGGGGCCGGACAAGGAGCAGCACGGTGGAGGGGGAAACGGAAATGTATGCCCCCCTTTTCGTTACTGACCCTTCAACTAAGCTGCTTTCTATTTGACCTGTCCAAGCCCATCAATCGCATACACTTCAGTGTGGGACCCCTCTCAGCCTTCTCTGCCTCTCAGAAAACAAGCCGAGCTTATTCCAATTAGAATTTCAGTTAGGTGACCGTTAAGAGTTTTGTTCGAGGTCAGACCGTTCAGGCAGGCCGATGGAATTAACGTACAGTTGACCACTCTCTAACTGAGCATCACGGAGCGGAATAGCCCTCTCCTGTCCCAATGACAGAGTATCTCTGTAGCCCAACGCTGTGTCTCTTACTCACCATTATCCAAGTGGGAGCTCGCACCTCACTGAGGACTTGGCAAGCATCAGACGTTACTGACCGCACCCCAGCACACCACAGCACCGAGAACAGCCATGGCTCATTCACCAGGTACAGGTTGGTGCTGATGTTTTCTGAAGCATACTCACTGCAGTCGAGAGACACAGAAACAGAAAGTGAGGCCCAGATTTCAACACAAGGTGAAGACAGCATTAACCCAGGAAGGAGCTGCTGCAAACTCTACAGACAGAGTGTCCCTCCAGGTTCTATCCCATAAATCCAACTGCCCCACATCGACCACTGATCTCACCTCCCCCCAACACCCCACCTTCTGCGAGCAACATCAACAACTTGACTGTAATATTAGCATCTTCAATGTGGCACATGAAGGGGAGGCGGTGATTTGGGGGCAGCAGGGGGGTGGGGCAAAAGAGTTGGGGGCAAAAAAAGTGATCAAAAGAGCCAGCTGTTGATGAAAAATCAACGTTTCTGCTTCTCTCTCTCACACAGATGTTGCCTGACCTGCAGTCAACAATAACAAAGAATAGGAGCAGGAGTAGGCCATTCAGCCCTTCGAGCTTGGTGGGCGGCACAGTGGCTCAGTGGTTAGCACTGCTGCCTCACAGCGGCAGAGACCCAGGTTTGATTCCACCCCCGGGGGACTGTCTGCGTGGAGTTTACACATTCTCCGTGTGTCTCCGGGTGCTCAGTTTCCTCCCACAGTCCAAAGGTGTGCAGGTTAGGGTGGATTAGCCATGCTAAATTGCCTGTAGTGTCCAGGAACGGTGTAGGTTAGGTGAGCTAGTGATGGGAAATGCAGGGTTACAGGAATTGGGTAGGCGGGTGGTTCTGGTGGGATGCTCTTCAGAGGATTGGTGTGGACTCAATGGGCTGAATGGCCTGCACCCACACTATAGGGATTGTCTGACCATGCTTTGCCAACTAAAATAACTATGGCTGACCATCCAACTCAGTCCCCTGTTCCTGCTTTCTCACTATACTCTTGCTCCCTTCAGTTGAGCAAACTGTATTTTTCTTCAAAGTTTTGGCCTCAACAGTTTCCTGTAGCAGAGAATGCCCTGCATTTTATGTTTTCACTTCTGATTTCTGCAGAAACGGAGGAACGTTTTGGTTTTGTGGAGGGTCCCAAAGCATGGGTGTTTGGGTCCTTTGTTCGGAGAGGTGACAGATTGGAAAAAAAAGACATGAGCAGCAAATTATTTACATAAAGAGTGGTTTGTGTGTGGAATGAACTTCCTAAGGAAGTGGTGGATGCGGGCGCAGTTACAATGTTTAAAAGACACCTAGGTAAGTATACGAATAGGAAACATTTGGAGGGACATGGGCCAAGAGCAGGCAGGTGGGACTAATTTGGCTTGGAATCATGGTCAGCATGGACTGGTTGGACTGAAGGGCTTGTTTCCATGCTGTATGGCTCTATAAAACTCTATGAAATTACCACAAGCAGGTGGAGAAAATGGTTATTAAAACTCATGGAAGGTTGCATCTCAAGGACTGTAAAATAGTGAAGTAACGGTTATACTGATTATCCAATATTGATTAGACTACAGAGGGAATTACACATATGTACTATGTACTTCATCTTCAGACAATGGTAATCTTGCTCATAGATTACACAGTGTGGAGCTGGAGGAACACAGCGGGCCTGGCAGCATCAGAGGAGCAGGAAAGTTGACGTTTCGGTTTGAGACCATTTTTCAGAAACGGGCTTCAGAAGGGTCCCGACCCGAAAGGTCAACTTTCCTGCTCCTCTGATGCTGCCTGACCTGCTGTGTTCCTCCAGCTTCACACAGTGTTATCTCTGACTCCAGCATCTGTAGTTCTTACTATCTCTTAATCTTGTTCATGTTGATTTTGCTTTGTGCATATTCTATGCAGCTGTAACTTGTATGCCTCACTCTGTCTAAGCGACCTACGGATCTGTATGTCCTTGTTTGCTGCGATCTGTCTGTACTGCTCGCAAAACAAAACTTTTCACTGTACTTTGATATATGTGACAACAATAAACCAACTCAAATCAAATCTTCAATCAGATACAACGGCCTCAGATAAAAATGCAGGGTAATTGTACTAGAAATTAAGAGGAGATTTTACAAAAACAAGGGTTGTATTCTCTGGAATTTAGAAAGGTGATTTGATTGACATGTTCAAGGTCAAAAGGGGAACAGATAATATGAAAAAAGGAGAAAGAAAGAGACAGAACCCTATTTTGAAGGCTGAGAAGTCCATAACTACTAGGCAGAGTCTCAAAATTACAGCAACTTTTTCCACAAGTGAACCACAAAGTGTGGTACAAGTACAGAATTGCCTGCTGCAAACAGCTGTTGTTACCCAGACATTTATTAGGTTTAAAATTCCTTCTCTGCCACTGGGTTAAATTCCTGGAACTCCCTCTCTAGTAGCACAGTGGGTGTAGACAGTCCCCCAAGGACTGCAGTATATACCAAAAGGCAGCTCACCATCACATTCTCGCACTTGGCCAGGAATGAGCAGTAAATGCTGCTCTGGCCAGTAATATTCACATCCCGCAAACAAATAATTTATTTTTTTGAAACACAAAACCGATAGATTTACGTTATGATGATTTAGGAGCAAGGTATGCTACTTTATCACTTCAAGCTGGAATGACTAAGGCAGTTGAAATTTTTTTTTTTTTTATTTGTTCTTGGGATGTTTAGACCAGCATTTATTGCCCAGATTACAGTTAACAGTCAACCACATCGTGGGTCTGGAGTCACATGTAGGCCAGACCAGGTAAGGACAGCAATTTCCTTCCCTTAAGGATGAAACTGTACAGGACATTGATGAGGCCTTGTCAGGAGTACGGTGTCCAAATCATAGAATCCCTACAGTGTGGAAACAGGCCCTTCAGCCCAACAAGTCCACACTGACCCTCAAAGCATCCCCCCAGACCCATCCCCCTGATAACCCACCTAATCTACACATCCCTGAACACTATGGGTAATCTAGCATGGCCAATCCAGCTAGCCTGCACATCTTTGGACTGAGAGAGGAAACTGGAGCATCCGGAGGAAACCCATGCAGACACGGGAAGTATGTGCAAACTCCACACAGACAAGTCACCCGAGGGTGGAACTGAACCCGGGTCCCTGGCGCTGTGAGGCAGCGGTGCTAACCACTGAGCCACCGTGCTGCCCTAACTGTCCAGTTCTGGTCGCCCTGTTATAGGAAGGATATTAAGCTGGAGAAGGCTCAGAAGAGATTTACCAGGATGTTGCCAGGGTATGGAAGGTTTGAGTTATAAAGAAAGGCTGGATAGGCTGGGATTTCTTTCACTGGAAGTTAGGGGGTTGAGAGGGACCTTAAGATTTTAAAAAATCATGAGGGGTAGAGATAGGGTTAATGGTAGGTGTCTTTTCCCTAGAATCAGGGCTTAAGACTAGGGGGCATATTTTTAACGCGAGAAAAAAAACATGAGGGGCAAATTTTTTTTACGCAGACGGTGGTTCGCATGTGGAATGAACTTTGAGGAAGTGGAGGATGTGGGTACAATTACAACATTTAAAGACACTCGGATAAGTACATGAATAGGAAAGATTTGGAGGATATAGGCCAGGAGCAGGCAGGTGGGACTGGTTTAGTTTGGGATTATGGTTGGCATGGATAGGTTGGACTGAAGGCTCTGTTTCCGTGCTGTATGACTCTATGACAATAATGAACCAGGCAGGTTTTAGAACAATGATTACATTAAGCTAACAATATGTTCCAGATTTTATTGAATTCACAGCTCACCATCTGCTATGGTGGGATTCGATCTCATGCCCACAGACCATTAGCCTTGGGATCCAGATTACTGACATTACCACTATGCCACCATCTTGCTGGTGGCAGGTATATAGAATTAGGTCATAGATCAGCCATGATCTCACTGAATCGAGGAAGAGTTTCAGGGATCTAAAGGGCCTACCCTCTACCCCTATTGCTAAGTGGAGGGGAAAGTTAGTTAAAGGAATGAAGTAGCTTCCAGAATTGTATTGAATACAGCCATTAGCTTGGACTAGAAAGCTCTATGGAATAAATTCTCCGCAGTATTATTGCTAAACTATTAAGCCAGAGATCTACGTCATGCTCTGGGGAATAAAAACTGAAATTGCTGGAGAAACTCAGAGGGTCTTGCAGCATCTGTGGAGAGAGAAAATGTTGAGTCCAAGGACCCTTCTTCAGAACTGGGACACGGGTTCGAATCCCACCACAGCAGATGGTGGAATTCAAATTCAAAACATATCTGGAATTAAGATCCTAATGACGATCATGAATCTGTTGGTCAATTGTCGGAAAAGAAAACCACATTTGGTTCACCAATGTCCTTTAGGGAAGGAAATCTGCCATCCTTACTTGGTCTGGCCTCAACATTACCCACTGCAATGTGACTGTTAACTACCCTCTGGACTCTAAATGCTGACTTAGCCAGAGATGCCCACGATTGAAGAATAAAAACGGGCAATGTGAAAGACTCCAGCAGTCAGACGTACCGCACCTCCTCCGCATCGACCTTATTGTATCGCAGGTTTAACCCCACGATGCCCTGCTCATGTAGCGCTGTTGCATTTTGTTTCACGGAGGACATCTGCTGGAAACCTGGTGCCACTTGGTGAACCATCCATCGGTCTTCCTCCGGTAGCCAGATCACCTGAAAAGCAGACAGTCAAGAGCTCACAACCAGCAACACGTGGTATGGAGGGTGTTCATTCGGATAGCGCCTCGACCACAGAGGCTTCATGGGAATATTACCACAGACCATCTGATACAGAGTAGCGCGAGGAGGCATCAGGATGCGTGGTCACATGCTTGGGAAGGTACGTGGATTTAGGGAAACGTCTTAACAGAGGAGAGGGGGATAGAGACATGGAGAATTTGGAGTGGCGGTGGTGGTGGTGTTGGGGGGGGGGGGGGGGGGGAGCGGGGAGCGGGGAGCAGTGGGGGAGCGTGGTGAATTTCCAGAGCTTTTGGCCCAGGCGTTTGAAGGTATGGCCGCCAATGGTGAGGCAACTCAAATTTGGGAAACGCAAGAGCAGCACAGAGAATGTGGGGCTGGAGGTGATTACAGAGATAGGGTGGGCCAAACAGACATGTAGCGAAGGAAAAACAACAAAGATGAGCATTTTAAAATCAAGGTGTTAGCACAGTGGGAATATTGTGAACAGTTCTGGGCCCCTTAACTAAAAGGAGGAATTGAAGGCAGTCCAGAGAAGGTTATCAGGTATGGAGGGACTGTCTTATGAGGAGGGTTGGGAAGATTGGGCTTGAACTCATTGAAGTTTAGAAGAATGAGAGGTGACCTTATTGAAACATACAAGATTCTTAGAGGACTTGACAGGATAGATGTGGAAAGGTGGTTTCCCCTTGTGGGAGAGTCTAGGACCAGAGGTCATCATCTCAGAGTGAGGGGCCGCATATTTAAGACAGCGAAGAGGAGAATTTTTCTTTTCTCTGAGCGGGGAGTGAATCTGTGGAGGGACGTCGAGGCTGGGTCATTAAGTATGTTGAAGGCTGAGATAGACAGATTTTTAATCAGTCAGGGAATTGAGGGTTATGGGGAAAAGGAGAGTGGAGTTGAGGATTATCAGATCAGACACGATCTCAGTGAATGACAGAGGGTCATTCAGTGGAATTCAGAGGAACCCAGGTCCCTGATGCTAACCACTGAGCCGCTGGACCTTAAGATTGGAGAGGCTAGACGTGTGAAATATCTCATCATTATTAGTATAGTGCAGCCTTTGTACAGCTCAGTCAGGTTTCACCCCCAGCCTCACTTTCTCTAACTCTATCACAGCTCAATTACTCCAACCCAAGAACATCCTACTGTAACTCCTGTGCGAGACCAGGTTCTGGTCTTACTATTACATTAGTGACACTGTTCTCTCCACTCGCTTCTCTTATACACACACTTTCTCTAGTCTAATTAACTCTTACTGAGCTAGTTAAGCAGAGTATCTCTGTGACACCACACAAGGCCACTCCATGGTCCTGAAGCCCCAACACAACAACATTGTAGATGGAGAGGAGGCGAAATTTCTTCTCTCGGAGGGTCTGTGTCTCTGTGGAACTCTCTTCCCCAGACATTTCTGGAGGGTCACTGAATACATTTAAGGCTGAGGTAGACAGTTATTTGACGGAGCAAGAGAGTTGAAGGTTAGGAGGGTTAGCAGAGTTAAGGCCACAATAAGATCAACAACAACCTTATTGAACGACAGAACAGTTCAAAGGGCCGAATGGCGCACTGACCTTTACATAGCCAAGGCCAGGCGCCAACTCTGACACCTCCTCCTACCGTCCCCTCAATCATGACCCCACCCCTGAGACCCCATCTCTCAAGCCATTCACAACCTCATCACCTCAGGTGACCTCCCGCCCACAGCCTCCAACATAATCGTTGCTCAACACCACATCGCCTGTTTCCATCTCCTTCCCAAAATCCATATACCCGACTGCCCCGTCCGACATTTTCTCTGCCTGATCCCACCCCGCTAAAAAAACTTATCTCCACTTACCTTGGCTCCGTTTTCTCCGCCCCCCGGTCCAGAAACAATCGCCTCGAAACCAACATTTATTTCAAGCCCACCGACTCCTACAGCTACCTGGACTACACCGCCTCTCACCCATCCTCCTGCAAGAATGCCATCCCCCTACTCCCAATTCCTCTGCCACTGCCGCGACTGCTCCCAAGATGGGGTGTTCCACTCCCGAACATCCCAGATGTCCTCTTTTTTCAAAAACTGCAACTTCGCCCTTCCAGTGGTCGAAAATGCCCTCAAACACATCTCTCGCGTTTCCCACAACTCATCCCTCACACACCCTCCCCACAACAAAAACAAAGACAGAAACCCCTTGTCCTCACATATCACTCCACCAACCTCTGTATCCAACGTATCATTCTCCGCTACTTCCAATCCGACCCCACAACCAAAGATTATATTTCCCTCCCCATCCATATCTGCCTTTTGTAGGGACTGCTCTCTCCGCGAGTCCCTCATCCGCTCCACACTCCCCACTAGCCCCACCACCTTTCCCTACAACCGCAGGAAGTGCTACACCTGCCCCTACACTTCCCCCCCTTCACCTCCATTCAAGGCACAAAACAAGCCTTTCACATCAGACAGAGGCTCACCTGCACATCTGCTATTGTGGTCTACTGCATCCATTGCTCCCAATGTGGCCTCCTCTATATCGGTGAGGCCAAGTGGAGGCTTGGAGACTGTTTTATAGAGCACCTGCAATCTGTTCGTGACAAACAACAGCACCTTCCAGTCGCGAACCACTTCAACTCCCCCTCCCACTCCCTGGGTGACATGCCCATCCTGAGCCTCCTCCAGTGCCACAATGATGCCACCTGCAAACTGGAGGAGCAGCACCTCATATTCTGCCTCTGAAGCCTACAGCCTGGTGGCCTAAACATGGAATTCACCAGTTTCAAAATCTCTCCACCTCCGTCCTCATCCCATGACCAACCTTCCCTCTCATCCCCGCCTCCTTGACCTGACACAACCTGTCCATCTTCTACCTGCCCCTTCCACCTTACTGACCAATCCCCACCACTCCCTACCACCATCCCACCTACGTTCCCCAGCCCCACCCCTCCTCTCTATTTATTTCTGAGCTCCCTGCTCCTCTGATGCTGCCTGGCCTACTATGTGCCTCCAGCTCCGCACTGTGTTATCTCTGACTCCATTACTATCTCCTCTAACTCCTGTTTGATTCACACAATTGAGGGTCAAGTTCTCTGTACTATTATTCCTGGGGAACTCATTGGCAGGTTTCATTGCGTTAATTAGGTGAAATGCTGTAAATTCTTGTTGATGGATCAGACAATTATTTCCCATCCACATCTAACTGGACTAGACACAGTGTGAACACAGGAAGGACGCTCCCAATGACTCTGGAGTCTGGAACCTGGAGGGGAGGGGTCACAGGTCAAGGACATAGGGCAGGCCATTTATGACTGAGACAAGGAGAAATTTCTTCACCCAGAGAATGGGGAGCCTGTGGAATTCTCTGCCTCAGAAAGTAGTTGAGGCCAAAACACTGAATGTTTTCCAGAAGGAGTTAGACCTAGTTCCTGGGGCTAAAGGGATCGAAGGATATGGGGAGAAAGGGGACTGAGTTGGGTGATCAGCCATGATCATATTGAATGGTGGAGCAGGCTCACAAAAGGACCAAATGCTTATTTGTGCTCCTATTCTCTGCCTTTCTATATCAAAGTCAGAGGCCACAAGACACCAGGTTATAGTCTAACAGGTTTATTTGAAATCACAAGCTTTCGGAGTGCTGCTCCTCCGACAGAGGAAGTGCCCAAAAGCTTGTGATTTCAAACAAACTTGTTGGACTATAACCTGATGTCGTGTGACCTCTATCTTTGTCCACCCCAATCCGGCACCAGCACCTCCACATCATTGGTGTCAAATTTCCTTTCTTGGTTACAACTGGGCAGCACGGTGGCTCAGGAGTTAGCACTGCTGCCTCACTATGCCAAGGACCCCGGTTTGATTCCAGCCTCGGGTGACTGTCTGTGTGGAGTTTGCACATTCTCCCTGTGTCTGCGTGCGTTTCCTCTGGGTGCCCTGGTTTCCTCCCACAGTCTAAAGATGTGCAGGCTAGGTGGATTGGCAGTGCTAAACTGCCCCATAGCATCCAGCGATTATGCACGGGGAAAAATGCAGGGTTACAGGGACAGGGTAGGGGTGTGGGTGGGATGGACTCGATGGGCCGAATGGCCTGCTTCCACACAGCAGGGATGCTACGATTGTATGAATGGTCGAAAACTAGACTGTGATGAAAACCAATGGCTCACCAGGTCCTGGGCAATTCCGGATTCCAGGATGGTTTCCAGGGTGACATTGATCCAGGAAGTGTAGAAGGGATGTTCGGGGGGTGGTCTCCAGAGGTTCACCATCACACTTTTGTTCCAGTGCACCGCCAGGGTGAGCACATCTGCCAGCTTACACAGTGACTGGTTCAAAGCCTCCGTGTTGTCTTTCTGTGAGAGAGTTTGCACTGTCCAGAATGGGTCCTCCTAAAACCAGCAACACAAACACAAATTAAAATGCAAACATTTCTACGACAAGCGGATGATAGTGTCCTGGGTTAACAGTGTGGAGCTGGAGAAGCACAGCAGGCCAGGCAGCATCAGAGGAGCAGGAACTGTTGCTGACTCACTTTCAATTCCAGATTTATTCAATCATTTTAAATATCAGATTTATTCAGTCAGTCAATTTAAAATTCCATGGGCTGCAAAGGCAGGTGGAGAAAGATTTAAATTAGACATGAGACACAATTTTTTTGTTTTTTTTAAAACACAGAGGGTGGTTCGTGTGTGGAATGAACTTCCTGAGGATGTGGGTACAGCTACAACATTTAAAAGATATTTGGATAAATACATGAATAAAAAAGGTTTGGAAGGATATGGACCAGGATAAGGTAGGTGGGACTAGTTTAATTTGGGATCATGGTCAGCATGGACTGGTTAGGCCCAAGGGTCTGTTTCCAGGCTGTATGACTATGACTCCAGAAGTGGAAGGTTTATATGATATGAAATGAGGGAAGGTGTGTTTGCAGAATGAGCTCGGACCTCAACAACTGGAAGCACAACAGCAAAAGATGCAGGAATTAAAACCAGGGTCAAACTGGAGGAGGTGTGCGGGAGGTTGGAGGACACTCATTTGAAAGACATCACAGAGAGCGGGACAGGCAAAGATATGGAGGGATTTGAGGATTTCAAAGTCAAGATGTTGCTTGCTCAGGAGCCAATGTGGATCAGAAGGTGAAGACTTGGGGTAGGCTAGGACTCAGATGGCAGGAGTTTGGGATGAGGTCAAGTTTACAAAAGTCAGCCAGGTGTGTGTTGGAATAGTCAAGTCCAGAGCTGAAGAAGGGATGTATTGAATGTGTAGGTGACAGGCTAAGAATCCTGCAACAAATAACTCACCTCCTGGCTCCCCAAAGCCTGTCCCCTCCATCTACGAGGCACAAGTCAGGAATGTGGTGGAACACTCCCCACTTGCCTGGATGGGGGTAGCTCCAACAACACAAGAAACTGGACACCATCCAGGATAAAGCAGCCCACTTGATTGGTACCACATCCACAAACATCCACTCCCTCCACCACCGATGCTCAGTAGCAGCAGTGTGTACTACCTACAAGATGCACTGCAGAAATTCACCGAAGATCCTCAGACAGCACTTTCCAAACCCATGACCACTTCCATCTAGAAGGACAAGGGCAGCAGGCATATGGGAACACCACCATCTGCAAGTTCTCCTCCAAGTCACTCACCATGCTGACTTGGAAATATATCGGTGTTGCTACAATGTCGCTGGGTCCAAATCCCAGAATTCCCTCCCTAAGGGCATTCTGGGTAAACCTACAGCGCATTGACTGCTGTAGTTTAAGGCGGCGGCCCACTACCACCTTCTCAAGGGGCAACTAGGGATGGGCAATAAATGCTGCCCCAGCCAGAGATGCTCACATCCCACACATGAATTTAAAAAAAGAGGGAGCAAGTTGGGATTAAAAGGCGGAGAGCAATCCCCAGGAAAATTAAGTGGTTGGGAAGAGAATGGGGTCAGGAAATTCTGATCCCCCTTTACTCGGCTGCAGTGCCGGCAGAGGAGGAAGGACAGGGAAATTTTCACATGGAGGGAAGCAGGGAAACCGGAGAGAAGTGGGGAGCCTACCTGAAAGAACCAGAGGCCAGCATTCAGCATCTGCAGGTTGGTCCAGTTGAACATGGCGGCATTGTCAAAGACCCTGTTGGGGTACAGCTCCTCTACATTGGTTGTCCGCCTCAGCGTTGTGTCATGCATCAGGAATGGAACACCGTCGTAGCTGAAGTGGGAACGTAAAGCATAAACAGGCAAGGAGCGATCAGCTGGATGTTGGCCAATACCACATGTCCCCAAACTAGACCAGCTGACAGCACACGAGCAGATAACAAAATTGACACTATCCAGGGCAGAGCAGCCTATTTGATTTGGCACCACATTTACCACCTTCAACATCCACTCCCTCCATTACTGACGCTCAGTAGCAGCAGTGTGTACAATCTACAAAATGCACTGCGGAAATTCACCAAAGATCCTCAGACAACACCTTCCAAACCCACATCCACTTCCACCCAGAAGGACAAGGGCAGCAGATACATGGGAACGCCACCACCTTCCAGTCCCCCTCCAAGCCATGCACCATCCTGACTTGGAAATATAATCGCTGGAAAAAAATCCTGGAATTTCCTCCCTGAGGGCATTGTGGGGGTCCCTGCACAGATAGGCAGCAGGCCAGCTAGAAACTTGAAGAGGGGCAGCTGAGTGAGTGGGTGTTGGGAAGTCATGCCTTGTGTCTGCGATGGGGCAGAAAGGGATAGTATGTGAGAGCATTGGTGTGTGGGATTGCCTGTGTAAGTATGTGAATGAAATGTGTGCAAGTGCAAGTGCGAAAGCGCATGCAGGCCAGACCAGGTAAGGATGTGGAGGCCAAGTCACTGAATATATTAATTTTCCTTTATTCATTCACAGAATGATGGCATGGCTGGCTAGGCAGCATTTATTGCCCATCCCTAATTGCCCAGAGGGCAGTTCTGAGTCAACCACATTGCTGTGGGTCTGGAGTCACATGTAGGCCAGACCAGGTAAGGATGGCAGTTTCCTTCCCTTGAAAGGCATTAGTGAACCAGATAGGTTTTTCCTGACAATTGACAATGGATTCATGGTCATCATTAGACCATTAATTCCAGATACTTATTGATACTTACCCGGGTCCTCAGAACATTATCCGGGTCTCTGCATTAACAATCCAGCCATAATACCACTAGGCCATCGCCTACCATATAAATAGATACATCTTTAGATTTTGAAGGCATGAAGGGATAGGAGTGGGGAAGGGGAATATGATATTGACATCGTGGATCAGCTACAATCATATTGAACTTATTTCACTGGAGCATAGGAGGTTGAGAAGTTTATACAATCATGAGGGGTATTGATAAAGTTGATGGTAGCTGTCTTTTCCCTAGGATGGGGGATTTCAAGACTAGGGGCCATATTTTTAAAAGGTGAGAGGAGAGAGATTTTAAAAAAGACATGAGGGGCAATTTTTCTTGTTTTGCAGAGAGTGGTTCACGTTTGGAATGAACTTCCTGAGGAAGTGGTGGATGTGGGTACAATTACAACATTTAAAAGACATTTTGATGAATAGGAAAGGTTTGGAGGGAAACGGGCCAGGAGCAGGCAGGTGGGACTAGTTTAGTTTGGGAACATGGTCAGCATGGACAAGTTGGGCCGAAGGGCCTGTTTCCATGCTGCATGATTCTATGACTCTATAAGGCGGAGCAGCCTCTAAGGATTCCTGCTTCAAGTTCTGATGTTTCTGACTTAACCCAGCTTTTCCACTCCCTGCCTAGATCTTCTGATTCACCGAGAAATGAAAATTCTGTCTACCTCAACCTAAATGCTTTCCATGATGGAGCGCCTGCAGCTCTGTAGGGTATATAATTCCATAGATTCACAACCCTGAACAAAGACATTTATCCCCTCTCACTGTCCTGAATGATTGACCGCTTATCCTAAGGCTGAGAGATAGCAGGACAGAAATCACTCAACAGAACCATCAAGCCCATGTCACTAACAGCATTGTTACCATACAAAGTCTCTGTGGGGTGAAGGACAATGAGTTAGAGATTCTTGTCTGGGTTTTCAGTGAAGCGTCTGCTCTCACCTGATGGTCACGTTGATGTTGAAACCATCAGCTCGCCACTCGGCTGCCTTCTGGAATGACATCAAGGTGTTCTCCGGAGCCAGCTGTAGGGAAAGGGAATTCAAAACCGGGATCAGATCTGGAGAGCCAGGAAATCAGGACGCGCGCGTTTCAAAAGCTGAGGTTTCCTCTTCCTGTTTTTGACTGTGCTCGGGCAAAATCAATTAAATAATGGCCTTCCCCCAACTCTCCCCCCCTTCCATCCAGCCCCCCCCCCCCCCCACCGAGGGGCAAAAGAACTAGTAGCAGAAATAGGCCATTCAGCCCCTCAAACCTGCTCCACCATTCAATATGATCATGGCTGATCTCATCTCGGCCTCAATTCCACTTTCCTGGTCACTCCCCCATAACCCTTCAACCCATTACTAATTAAAGATCTGTTTATCTCCTCCTTAAATGTACTCAGTGTCCCAGCATCCTCCACACTCTGGGATAGTCAATTCCAAAGATTCACGACTCTAAGAGAAGTAATTTCTCCCCACTTCCGTTTTGAGTCTGCCGTTCCTTACACTAACACCTTTCCATTCTAGATTGCTCCAAATGAGGAAACGTTCGATCTGTGTCATCTTTGTCAATGCCTTTAGCATCTCAGAGACCTCAATTAGATCTCCTCTCATTCTTCTAAACAGGGGAACCAATGGCCTGATGGTATTATCACTAGACTATTGATCCAGGGAAGGATGTCTGCCCATCCTCATCCAGTCAGGCCTACACGTGACTCCAGACCCACAGCAACATGGTTGACTCTCAATTGCTGGCCAGGTTATTACTGACAGGCAATAAATGCTGGCCTAGCCAGTGATGCCCGCATCTTGTGAACAAATTTAAAAGCCTCCAGAGAGTATTGACTTAAATTGCTCAATCTCTCCTCATAAAACAGTGTTTCATTTCTGGTGGACCAATAACTTCAAGTGTTGATAATCTGTTCATTTCATCAGAACGAGGGGAAGCCATTCAACCTTTCAAACTTGTCCCAGCATTCAATTCCTAGGCTTCATTCATTAATATCCATTACAAAATCCACTGACTCCCATTATTATTTCGACTATTTTTTCCTCACACCCTGCCTCCTGTAAGAAATCCATTCCATTCTCCCAGTTTCTCTCTTGCGTCTGCTCCTACAATGCTGTGTACCATAACCCACTTGCTCAAACGGGGAGTCCCCCTCAGAGACAGGGCCCTTACCCATGTCCGATGCAATTCCTTTAGGAAAAAGCAATGGGGTTCTCCTTGCTCTCACGTTCCACCCTGCTGATTTCCACATTCAAAAGGATCAGCCTCCATCTTTTCTACAGGATGCCATCACAAATGCTTTTCCTTCCACTGTCAGTATTCCACAGGGACTGTTCCCTGTGTAACACCCGGACTGACTCACCAATCACCCTCCACAATTCGTTCCCCTCCCATGGCACATCCCTGTGCAGGAAATGGAGCAACTGCCCTTTGACCTCTGCCCTCTCCATTGTCCGATTTGGGCCCCCAACCCTACTCCTACAGTCCAAAGCTGTGCAGGCTAGGTGGATTGGCCATGCTAAATTGCCCGTAGTGTTCAAGGATGTGTAGGTTAAATGGGTTAGACAATGGAAATGCAGGAGTATTGGGTCTGGGTGGGGTGCTCTTCAGAGGGGCGGTGTGGACTTGTTGGGCCGAATGGCCTGTTTCCACACTGTAGGGATTCTATTAAAAAAAATGAATTGTATGAATTTAGACTACTGTACTTGCTGCTCACAATGTGGTATGCTGCACACACACACACACACACACACACACACTGACCAAGCATACACTTGGTGTGTGGTACATCTCTGTTCAGTCTCTAGCATGTCCCAGAGTTTCCAATCATTTGCCATTCTAACGTACCACCTTGTTCTCACACTGACGTTGCTGTCTTTGGCCAATTGCAGCACTCCAGCTCCAGTGTCTGGATGGGATACGCTTTACAGGGTTGGTGCAGATTTGATGGGCCAAATGGTCTCTTTCCACACTGTTGCGATTCTATGAAATCTCCCTTAGATCCTGGCCAACAATGACCCTTCAATCAATGTGACAAAAAGCATGTACGGTCATTATCACACTGGTGGGAGCTTGTTGTGCCTAAAATGGGCTGCCAAGCTTCCAAACCTACTAGAGCGAGGACACTTCAAAAAGATTTAACAACATTTTAAGATGTTCTGAGGATGTGAACGGTGCTACACCAACGCAAGTCTGCCTTTTAAATATCCCTCTAAACCCCTCCCCTTCATGTACCCATCCAGATGCCTTTTAAATGTCCCAGTTCCTCTGGCACCTCATTCCAGACATGCATCACCCTCTGTGTGAAAAAGTTACCCCTTAGGTCCTTTTTATATCTTTCTCCTCTGACCTGAAACCTCGGCCCACCTTAGGACCTTGGCTATTCACCCTATGATATAGTTTGACCTATTTGAACAACAAAAGAATAATTGGCAATTCATGCCACAGTTTTTTCGTGTTTCTTTCTGATTTCCAGCATCTGCAGGAGTTAATTTTTATCGTTTTCAAAAGATGCATTACTCAAATTGACCACTTGATGGGGCAAGGTGACAACATGTAAAATATATTTCAGCAAAAAGACTTTAATACCATCAGAGACTTTCCATACTTGATAGGTGTAGTTGCCTATTACTCTCAAATCTTTATCACTTGCTTAATAGAAACGTGTGGAAGAGGATGTACTCAGTATCTAACCTCTTGCTGTTACTGTCCTAACAGCGCTTGATGGGAGAAACAGTGGAGAGAGAGCTTCACTCTGTACCTCACCCCATGCTGTCCCTGTCCTGGCAGTGTTTGATGGGGGACAGTGTAGAGAGAGCTTTACTCTGTACCCAACCCTGTGCTGTCCCTGTCCTGGGAGTGTTTGATGGGGGACAGTGTAGAGAGAGCTTTACTCTGTACCTCACCCCATGCTGTCCCTGTCCTGGCAGTGTTTGATGGGGGACAGTGTAGAGAGAGCTTTACTCTGTACCTAACCCTGTAAGGTAATTGTACAATATATGATAACAATTATATGGCCCTCATTCTACTTTCCAAGAGTGAGAGCCTTGTTCTGCTTATTGCATTAAACTCATGTCCGATCAGTAAAATAATTTATTGTCTGTCTTGCTGCTGACAAACGTGTTAAAAACAGTCTGTAGAATTTATTACATTTTATTTATTTATCATATTTATGAAGAACAGTCAATTAAAAATGAATTCCCCTGTTCCTGGGAGGCAGTCTTCTCAGACAGGGCACAGTTTGAACAAGAGGAGAATGATAAACAATTTCTGGTGAACAACGTAAATATCACCTGGATCTCTGTTCCCCGAGCTCAATCTTACAAACTTACTCAAGTACAAGACCTACGTAAATTTCAGGCTTCAGTCAAAAACAAAATCTGCCTCCCAACGTTTTTCACATAAAAACAGAGAATGCTGGAGAAACTCAGCAGGTCTGGCAGCATGTGTGGAGACACAAATAGAGTTAATGTTCCCAGTCTGATGTGACTTCTTCAGTTATAGACTGGAGTCACACTGGCCGCAAAACGTTAGCATCTGTGGAGAGGGAAGTAGAGTTGTCAGACCTGCTGAACTTCTCCTCCATTTTCCATTTTCACTTCAGATTTCCAGCATCCGCAGCACGTGACTTTAATCGACGTTGATTTTTTAGCTCGAAGACAATCCTGAATGTCTTGGGGGTTTGTTCAGGGAATGTTTTGGAATCCACTGGGTTTCTCCTTTCCAATAACTGGAATACATAAAGACATGGCCCTGTAGCAGAAGGGAGGAGATGGGAGTATGGGGTTGACGATGAGGCAAGTACATGTTCTCAAACTGGAGGGAAGAATCAGGCTGCTCTGCCTAGCTGAAACGCCAAGGCGTCACTGGAGAAACATCCCAGGCTCCATCAGAACTCAAAGTGAACCAGACAACTTCCCACTGGGTGGAGCACTTCCCGAAAACAAACAATCGCCCAATCAAGCAAGTCTCACATTTCCACGACAACAAGGTGCAGGGCTGGATGAACACAGCAGGCCAAGCAGCATCATAGGAGCAGAGAGGCTGACGTTTCGGGCCTAGACCCTTCATCAGAAATGGGGGAGGGGAAGGGGGTTCTGAAATAAATAGGGAGAGAGTGGGAGG